AGAGATAAAAACATACATCAAATGTACAGAACAGAGAATCCAGAAGTAGACACACACAAACATGTCCAACTGATTTTGAATAAACGTGCAAAAGCAATTCCATGGAGGAAGCATTGTTTTTTTCAACAGGTGGTGCTGGAATAACTGGACATCTATCCAAAAAGCTATACCTTGACCAAAATTAACCTTACATGTTATGCAAATATTAACTCAAAATGGTTCAGAGAGAAATGTAAAATGTAAAGCAATACAATTTTTGGCAAAAAATTAATTTTATAAAGAGAAAATCTCGGTGGTGAACACACAATGTGATATATAGATGAAGTATTACAGATTTGCACACTTGAAACCGATGTAATTTTACTAACCATTGTCACCCCAGTAATTTCTAATAAAAAAAGAGAAAATCTTCAGGATCTAAGGCTAGACAAAGAATTCTTCTCACCAAAAGCATGATCTATACATGGGGAAAAAAATGATGAATTGAACCTCATCAAAATTAAAAACTTTTGTTTTGCAAAAAATTCCTGTTAAGAGAATGAAAAGACAAACTACACATGGGCAGAAAATATTTGCAAGGCACATATTCAAAAATGGCGTATGATCTAGAATACATAAAGAATTCTCAAAACTCAATGGTAAAAACACAAATCATCCAATTACCAAATAGGGAAAGGACCAGAACACACATTTCACTGAAGAGGACAGAGATGGCAAATCAGCACATGAAAATTTGTTACCCATCATTAGCCATTAGGGAAATGCAAATTGAAATTGAAGTGAGATATCATGATACAATGATGGTTACAATGAAAAAAAATACAACCGACACTACCAAGTGCTGCAAGGATGTGGAGAAACTGCATCACTTGTATACTGCTGGTGGGAATGTAAAATGGTAAAGCTACTCTAGAAAATAGTTTGGCAGTTTCTTATGTGACTAAACATGCAACTACCCTACAATCCAAATTCACTCTTGGACATTTATCTCAGAAAAGCGAAAGCTTATGTTCACAAAAAACTGTACATGAATGTTCATAGAAGCTTTATTTTCAATAACCCAACACTGGAAACAACCCAGATGGCCTTCGATGAATGAATAAATACTGTGGTAATGTCCATATCGTGGAACACTACTCAGCAATAAACAGGAAAAAACTGCAGAATGGATGCAATGACTTGGATGGATTTCAAAGGAATTATGGTGAGTGAAAATTCCAGTTCCCAAAAAGTTATGTACTGTATGATTCCATTTATGAAACATTCTCAAATGAAAAAAGATTAGATATGGAGGACACATTAGCGGTTGCTAGGGGATTGGGATTGGTGGGAGAGGAAGGTGGATGTGAACAACAGAGAGATCCTTGAGCTGACAGCATTGTTCTGTATCTACTTTGTAACAACCAATTTGTACTTCTTAATCCCTTTCCCCTTCACCCAACCTCCTTCCATCTGGCAACTATCAAAATGTTCTCTGTATCTATGTATAAGATAACATTTTTATTTTTTCCACTTATTTATTTATTTATATTGTTTATTTATATTCTTTCTTTCTTTCTATCTTTTATATTTGTTATTAGTTTCAGGTGCACAAACTCTCATGCACTGTTGCTGGGAGTGTAGATTGGTGCAGCCACTATGGAAAACAGCATGGAAGTGCCTCCAAAAATTGAAAATGGAACTACCTTATGACTCAGCAATTCCTCTCCTGGGTATCTATCCAAAGAAATCCAAAACACTAATCCAAAAAAATATATACACCCCTATGTTTATTGCAGCGCTATTCACAATAGCCAGGATATGGAAACAACTGAAATGCCCATTGATAGATGATTGGATAAAGAAACTGTGGTACATTTATACAATGGAGTATTACTTGGCTATAAAAAAAGAATGAAATCGTACCATTTGCAACAACATGGATGGATGGACCTTGACAATATTATGCTAAGCGAAATAAGTCAGACTGAGAAAGACAAACAACATATGATCTCACTATACATATATATATATATATATATACATATATATATATATATATGTATATATATATATATGGAATCTAAAGAACAGAATAAATGAGCATACAAAACAGAAAGAGACTCAGAGATATAGAAAAAAAACTAATGGTTCCTAGATGGGAAGGGGGTGGGGTGGGGGAGAAGGTGAAGGGATTAGAAAGTGCAAACTAGTAGACACGATATAGTCATGGGGATATGAAATATAGAATGGGGAATATAATCAACAATGTTGTAAAGAAGCTAACATTTTTAAACTTCTAAAATTCTCTGCATTTGGATTATTTAAAAATTAATGTGCCAGTTTCGTGGCCTGATAACTAAGCATGTGTCAAATGTCAGTGACTCAACTAAGAGCCTTGGGTTTACCTTCATGTCAACACCAAGCCATGCTATTTAAACTGCTGCTTATACAATCATCATTGAATGACACTTTGGTTATTTCCATGTCTTTGTTACCATGAATAAAGCTGCAATGAACATAGGGGTACATATATCTGTAAGGATAAATGTTTTCAGATTTTTTCAGTAGATACCCAGAAGAGAGATTGCTGGGTCGTATGGAAAAATATTGGTTCATATATACGATGGAATATTACTTGGTCATAAGAAAAGATGAAATATTGCCATTTGCAACAAATGGATAGATCTTGAGATTATTATGCTAAGCAAAATAAGTCAGACAGAAAAAGTGGAGAACCACATGACTTCACTCATATGTGGGATATAAAACTGAAAGCAACAAAGGAACAAGACAAAGAAAGAAAGAAACAAAAACTCATAGACACAGAAAACAGTTTAGTGGTTACCAGAGGGGAAGGGGGGAAGGGGGGTGGTAGAAGAAGGTAAAGGGGGTCAAATATATGGTGATGGAAGGAGAACTGATCCGGGGTGGTGAACACACAATGTGATATATAGATGATGCCTTATAGAATTGTACACTTGAAACCTATATAATTTTACTAACCAATGTCACCCCAATAAAGTTAATAAAAATTAACAAAATAAATAAACTGGTATTTATGATTTTGAGTACTGCTTTCCAATTTGGAAAAAGGAGACATATCAACTAGCTGCAAAGCAATTTGAACATTTGAATTTCAGTGATAAAAGTATCTTTTTCCGAGTATACCACTTTCTCTAGAATTCCATTTGACACATAAAACTTTACGGTGTTTGTCTTTTAGTTTGACCTACCATTAAAATGTAGACATGAACATATGGCAAATGTCATGGTGTTTGAAACTTTTTGACCTTTCATTCCTTATTGCAACTCTAAGTTGAAAGACGTTTCAATGCAATTTCTCAGAGCATTGGATCACAGTGTATATGTATATTGAAACACATCAAAGAATTGCAACCTCAGTGCTTTAGAAACTCAAGATTACTAATGTGTATGCATCATTATTTTCCCATCAACAATACATAATGAAATTAAGTGTTAGACTATGGACATTCAGCTCAATTCTAATCACAGATAAATGAGGACACACATTTGCCTCTCCTGAAGAATCACCACTACACATGCATGAACAATCAGAAATAATGATTTTTAAAAGAAATACAGCAGATGTGGATTTAAATCAAAGTATTATTAGTCAAGTGACAACAGCCAGTCCAAACAGTGCTCTCTGACTGCACTAGCATGGCAATTCAATTATTTATCAATGCCCATACATAACCTCTACTTCTGTTAAGAGTTATGTTTGAACACACAAGGGTTGGTAGCCCCCAAGGGAAACAAGAAGAGTTGTCAAAGAAACGGTACATTTGTTCTTTCACAATCCGGTCCACATTTTCCCCGAAGCACAACTTTACTTGCATTCATTTATATTTTCCCAAATTAGCTCAAAATATATGTTACCAGCGTTAAAAAGGTAAATTTCGATTTCACTTCTTTTATGTGGCTTTTATCTATGTTAATGTCCTAACACACCAGTAGCCAGGTAACACACTCAACATCAAGATTATTCTTACAGGTGACAGTGAGGGGGAGGCACAATCCTGATGACAGAGGAGTGACAGCTGGCAATCAGAATTTCAGAAGTGGAAGGTGAATTTGGACTTGAAAAAAATGCAAGGTGGTTCTGAAATTTTCTCCAAATTAAGAAGAGTCAACTGAATTCCATTTGGCTTTATGTCTCTTAATAGGCCGAAAGACAGAAAGACCGAGAAATAGATTTAAACACACCGTCTCTAGGCCTATCCCCTCCTTTGCCAATCATTCATGCTGGGTGTGAGTCATAATCCATGAAGGGCTAACTGCTGAAACTGAGACTTTTAACTACTAATGTGTTACATGGATACTGTTTCGATGGATTACCATTAAACAAACTACATATGTCTCTTCCATAAGCAGACAAACATGTGTGGATGTGTGATGAGTTTCTGTGGGGATAAGGGCACACAGACTTTAACTTTTGCATTGACCCAGAGGGACCCATGGAAATTGTTGTATCGGCCCAGCACTTTTAGTGAACGAAATGATCTGGAACACAGCCTTCGCCTTCCCTAGCACGGCAGTGCCACTCTCCTATTCCTGTGCACATACACATGTTACCTAAATCATCTTTGCAGATGTGTGTGAACCAGAGATATCTGCGCTCTATCTGTCTGTGAAGGGCAATAACAAAACGTTACAACCCATTTAGCAATAAACCATGCATCCTTTCTGCAAGTCTTTGCTTACATTTGATTTGCAACATTTCACCTCCTCTATAAATTTTATTTCATAGTCTTTAGTAATTTCTGGCAACATAAGTAGATACCCAGATGGTATCTCTTTTCTCCGTAAGCCAGAAATAATGTCTCAATATAAATTCCAATGCCATTTTTTTTATGATTTAGATTCTAAATTTTAGAAAGCAGCCACACACAAATATTGAGACAATACCTTAGGAGAACAGGATAGCAGTACAATTTAAGTATTAGAAAGCAGCACGGGATGTGACTGAGTCAGCAGTAATAAAATTAAAACGATACCTGATGACGCAAGCATAAAGACCACTGTCCTGCAGTAACGTCGGCCGGAACCAAATGGAGTCTTCTTCTTTGCTCATTCTACTTCCATCGAAGGCTATTGGCTCTTCAAAGTCTCCAGGACCAGAGCTTTTGTACCACATCAAACTGAGTCCAGCGCTTTGGGCTACGGAGTAATTTGCTCTGATATAGCCATAAAACAGTGCACATTTGATACGAACAGGCTCTCCCACCAGAACTTGATATTTCTTAATATCGACAGACCAATCGGTGCATCCATCAGCTAAAGGGGAAAAAAAAGAGAAAACATTAGAGAAAAATTGAAGCAACTAGTCCATTCATTCATTCATTTGTTCATTCAACAAATATATATTGAGCACCTATATGGGAACAGATTTAATTCTAGGCACAGAGGATGCGGCAATGGATAAAACTCGGCATGGCACTGAAAAATAATTTACCCCGCTAACAAACAACATACTGATCACTTCCTTTGCTTCTGCTGGTATTTATCCTTAGTTTATACCAGTGTGATGGTTATTGGTTTAGTGCCTTTCCACGCTAAATCTACCTTTTTACCTGTCCTTTGAAAATGGATCTGGACCTTTGAAATTGTTGGTAGAGGATGCTGGACAGACATTGCAGGAGGAAAGGGTTTTTGCTCCTTGGTTCCAGAATGCTTGCTGGGAGGGCTCTTGCAGACTGCAAGGCTCCCCCAGCACCTGACTCCTGCAGTGCATGGCAGCCAGCAGCTTGTAGATTTTTTTAGTAGAGCCTCAGGTGAGACACTTTCCAATGAACAGCTTTCCTAGGGCAAGTCTCTGTCAAGTTCCAGAGGGCAGATTTCCAATGAGTTCTGCCGGTGTGGCACCTCAGTGACTTCTGCCATTCAATAAGCCAAGCACTTGCCCCGATAAGTTTCGGATCACTCCAGAGGTGGGAAGATAGGGGCTTTGCCTAGGTGCTGTATCTCAGCCATTGGGGTAATGACAGCCATTCCTCTGTTGTTCAGAGTTCTCTTTTGCTATGGACTGAATGTTGGTGCCCTCATATGTGTAAACACTAACCCGGAATAAGATTGTATTTGGAGGAGGGGTCTTTGGTAGATAAGTAGGTTCAGATGAGGTCATGAGGGCCGAACCCTCATGAAGGGGTTAGTGACCTTAGAAGACAAGATACCAGAACTCCCCCCTTTCTCTTCCTTCCTCCTTCCATGTGCTCATAGAAGAAAGGCCATGTGAGCACACAGGGAGGAGGTGGCCGTCTGTAAACCAGAAAGAGAGCCCTCACTGTAAATCAAATCTGCCAGCACCTTCAACTCGGACTTCTCAGTCTCCAGAACTAGGAGAAAAAAAATTCTGCTGTGTAAGCCATCTAGTCTGTGGTATTTTTGTATGACAGCCTAAGCAGACTAATAGATCTTTCTTTCTTACTAGCCAATCCTTCATTATTTCAATACATTGTTACATTTAATATTTCTTTATAAAAACTTCCCTTGTTCAAATTAGTGTGTAGTTTTTGTCTCTGATTGGATCCACATTGATAAAATCAGGAACAAACGTTTTATAGCCAAAGAAGGCAGAAAGAAATACAACAAAAGGGGGTCAAGCACCGGGAGTGTTTTCACAGCCAGAGACAGGTAGATGGTCACTTTGCTCTGATTTCTGGAAGCATCAGGGCAAGTATCAAATGGAAACCATGGTGGGAAATGGGGCTGAGAGGAGTTGGGGCCAGTGGGTTTTCTGGGTTACCTGGAAGCACTATCATCCAAATGGTATCTTGATACCATTTTTATCACCCCTCTATACACACACACACACACACACACACACACACACACACACACACCACGAACAACAGGTCCCCACAGGTCAGGTACATCACTATTATCATCATCACAGAGAAGCTGTGAATTTCCTGCTTAGAGAGGGCAGTTGTCCAATACTTAGCAAGATAATCAATGTGACATAACTCACAGTATAAAAATACTGAGCCATGGACGAAAACCAAAAACAGAGGACCTCTAACAGCAGTAGCATCTGAGTATTGCCAACAAGGTTGAACTCACTAGAGATTAAAAAGAGTGCAGCAATCTAAAAGATCTGAGAACGAGGTGAATAATGTAGAATTTGAGAGAAGGAAAATTATCACCATGGAAAGGAAGATGTACATTAGAGCAAAGAAGACACATAATCTATGGAATTATCTACATTTCTTATCTTAAAATAATATGCAACATCTAATGAGCACTTAACTATGGCTGAGTTTACAAATTTTTCTTTACCCTTCACTAAAACATCTATTAAGGCTTTTGAACTCATCGTTCCCTCTTTGGGGAACATTTCTCACGAACCAACTGCCTTCCTACCTCCCTCCCTTCCTCCAAATGTCACCTCCTTAAAGAGGCCTTTTCTAACTGCTATTCATGAAACACCAGCTTCCTATCTGGGTCACTTTATCCAGATTCTGCTTTAATATTTTATCAGAGGACTTATTGCTATCAGATGTTATGTTATGGACCCACTTTTTGTTTGCTTTCTGTTTCCCCAATAGAAATGTAAGCCCCTTGAGATCAAGAACTTTGTCCTAACTCACTTCTTTAGCCCCAGTGCATAGAAGGGTGTCTGCTAACCAGCTGAACACACATTTCCTAAATGAATGAATGAATGATTGTGTAAATAAATTAACAACTAAATTTTACAACTGAAGAAACTGAACACCAGCTAGTAAACGGAAGTCCTGGTTTCCTCACCCAACTATGGTTGACCTATAACTCATTCTCTCTATCACCCTAGTATTGTTTCCTGATAAAGGTATTTTTAACTTTACAGCATTCTTCAATTTAGTTAATTTCAACTACCAAATTTTGGTCTAAGATTCCTCCTAAAGAGCTGTAGTTAGATACAGCCTAGAGCACATGTGCTGGAAGCTTGGTGGATGTAATCAATATCCAAGTCATTGCCATCATTCTTATCAACAACTGCTGCAGAACTGGCACACCACATTAAATAGAATGACAAAACCATACATAAAGATGTCAAGGTTATATAATTACATGTGATATTTATCAACACCATTTTGTACATTTGACCCATTGCCTGAAATTCATCTTGGGTGGGATTTTATTTTAAACAGTTATAATCCTAGTGATAAGCATGAAATTATCTTGTTTTACCACTATATGAATTACAATACAATTCCAGAATCAAGTAACTGAGGCCATCTGTCACAGAGGATATCACTGCCAATGAAAAAGGCAGAAACACCTTCAAGGTAGCAGTATTAACAGTGAGATGAAATTATTCAAACTCTCAGAAGATTCAAGCAAAATGCTTGAAGTTAAAGGCAAAAATAGTGAATCTGAAAAATTCTGAAAAGTTAGTAACAAATTAGATTAAGAGAACAGAGTTGTGTTGAAGATAGAGATATTAATACATACTTTCGGAATATGCTTACTGAGAAAAACATTGACAGGAAACCAAAATATTACTGAACATTATTCAGTCCTTAATTATCAATCAGGAGAAAGGTTTCAAACAGCTCACAGTCACATGCCAAGGAAAATGCAAAGGTGAACTGAAGCAATAACAGCCCATTGGATATCACATTATGTTCATTTAATATGGAAATAGATGTAGGATCTATAGCTTAGGAAGTTTTACTACCATTAAACTAACTGTATGATGTCCAAAATTAAACTATAAAAATTTTAACATGTTTTAATACATTTTTGGGAAAGATGTCAAATAATATAAAGAACAAGTCAAGATATTTTCAAATTATTTGGATAAACACATTTCAATAAATGATGGGCTAATGGCTCTTTTCAATAATTAAATTAAGCCATTTATTTAAATAAGTGATGAATTATATTTTTGCCTTTGTTAACATTTTGCCTCATTTGCACACGCTCTCTCAGTCTGTGCATCACAATTTTCTTCCTAAACCATTTGAAAATAAGTTAAAGTAGAGACCTAATGAAATTTTGCCCCTGAATACTTCAGTAGGCATCTCCTTATTAATAAATATATTTTCCTTATATAGCCACGGAGTATTTTAGAATCTTGTGTAGAGGGACAAATCTTAAGAAAAGATCTTAAGACAGTGGAATAGCTCTTAAACATCTTAAATCTTTAAAGAAAATGTAATAACTTAAAACCTAACTCTTGATGGTCAGAATGCTACTGATATGTTGAATTTTTCTTTACTTCAGCACACAAACTCTGTTGGCTTGGAAACACTCACTCCAAAAGCATGTTTCTAGACATTGTTAATTCCATTATGTAAGTCACTAGGTAACCTTTATTATTATTATTTTAAAAATTATCGTCAGTAGGGCCGGCCGAGTGGC